TGGGCAGATGCTTTATACGAGAATGAAAACAGCAAGGTAGAACCCACTCCTGTATCTCCTTTTTTCAGAAATCTTAGCAGCCCAGTCCTATTCACGCACATTTCAGATTGTTTCTACCCTAAGTTCTCTTTAATTGTATCTTATCAAGGAATACAGTCTCACTGAGGAATAACTGTTGGTGCTGGGCATTCTCCACTGCCTAAATAGCAATAATTTGGACAAAACCTGCTGAGGCGCTTCAGGGAGGACAGAAGGTTCTTTCCAAGATCTTGCATCATCCTGTATCCGTGGGTACACTAATCCACAAGCTAGGGGGGTCCTAGGCAAAGACATACAGCCTCAGCTGTGGAGAGCCCGTAACATACCCAACCCCTCAGTCCACCGTCGTGCTTAGGAGGCGCCTCTTGTTTTCCGCTGGTCTGACATATATTCTTTCAGTGCCAGGAGAACTGGAGGGCTTCAAAGAATTTTTTTCAGCCCCTTGCTCCACCTTTTGAAGATATCAGGATCTCATATAAAATAATCACTCTGCCATTATGTTTACTTACTGTTTTTTTTTCCCTCCCTTTCTGGCCTTTTGCATTTTGACTTCTTTCCCCAAGATTTTTTTCTTCCCATTCCTTCTCCCCTATCACTTAGTTTCTTCTACTTTATTCTCCGTACTGTTTCCCACCTCTCCAATCCTTCCTGAGGTTCAGCATCTGAGGAACTAGACTGGAATTAGCCTCTCATGGCTTACCACAAATTAGCACTGCTTTGTGGCTAAAAGCTCCCGTGTTTGTTCTTAACTCAAAGACCAGCTGTTGCACACCTGGATGCTAGATAAGAGATAACAAATTCAGTGACTGCACCTATTGACTAGCTACTGCTTTTATCAGCTCTCAGGGAGTTTAGCAGTCTCTTGAACACTGTACGGTGATAGTTTCCATCAGATAAATCAGATGCAGTATAGCCTGAAAGATTTGTCATGTTATATGAAGAAGAAAACATTCAAAATAATATGCACAGAATAAAAATACAATATTTTAATTCTCAGGTTTATTTCTTCAGGTTGTACTGGCACACTGGGCGTTTTAAAGCCAGCAGCTGATGCCGCTTAAGCATACTGCATCATACAGACTACAGGAGATGATTATATAAACTAACATATAATATGGAGAGCTGATTAAATGAAAGCTCATTTCAGAATGAACATTCCGAAATTTCAAAAATTACATTAATGCTCTGCATCTAACAGACTTTCATATGGATACAATATAACAGTTGTTTTTCTGTTGTTATAATAAATATATAACCGCATACCGCATACTCTAAGACTTATTCCCATCAGTCTCTCTTTGTATTATGTTTTAAATAGTTAATAATTAAGATTAGAAAGATATAAATGCCACTTTACATACTCTGATTTTGGACGTTTTTAATGGTAAAAGTTTTATGCTTGTAAAGAAAAACCACAAGTTAAAATTCACAAGTAAGGAGGCCAGTGGTTATTTTGGTAGTGGAAAAACAAATATTTCTGATTTCGAAAACAGCTTATTCTGAATGTCCACCAATTTTTTTCAATACTGTTTTAGTGAATCCTTAGCATCATGTTTTTTCTGAGTCTGTATGTCTGTGCAAGCGTGTAGACATTTATGGTACTCCTTGCTCATCAAGTAAACAAGAAATTCTACTTAGGACCCTGCTTACTATAACGGAAGGTCTAGATTAAATATACTGAACTGAAAATGAAACCTAAAACATGGTCAGTGGAGGGACTTAGGTCACACCAGCAAGTTCAGTATGCTCCAACAACACCCAAAAAACTGTTTGTGCACAACTTGTAACTTTAAGAGCAAAGTAGTCTGAGTTACTTTAGCTGTTGAAAGCTTTTACTTGTATCACCTTGCATCTACAGCAGGATTTAATCACCAAGATGGACAGTTGGGATTTTGAGTTTCAGTAGCAGTCTTTAAAATATAGATGTGTGAACATACCACATGAACTACAGCAATTCTATTGTTAATTTTTTAAACTAGATTTTTATGGCTCAGTGTAGCTTTAGGGTGTTCTATGCCAGTTTGTGAATCAGGACATTCTGAGTCATCTGGCCCTCTCTGAAATGACCTGTGCGTTAGATATACCTGAGATGGTCATAAAGAGCAACAGAAGAGGTAGTTTTCGAAAAGCAGAACATCTTCACAGAACATCTTCACCATTTGGGGTCAGATCCTTTTTGCCCAAGATTATGGTGTTATTAATCCCCTCTAACATGACTCAGACCTATTTCATCATTTTTCACCAAATTCTAATATTTAAGTTATAGTATAATGTTGTATGTTTCTGCAGTAATTTCCTGAGGAATTGCTGTGGAGTACGTTAGGAGTTCTTTGCCAAACTTAAAATTCTAGTTACATTACCTGAACCTTTATGAGCATACAGTAAATACAGATGAATATCATCTGTTTACTATTCTCAGTTTTGTTTTAAAAATCCAGACATAATCTGAATTTTTATTAACCCTGTCTAAATGTGCAAGCTGGGATTCAGTCCAGAAGCAAGCAGCGTAAGAAGTCTGCTACGTGTTTGTGCAGTTCCTGTGGAACAACAGGAATACTCAGTATGTGAACCCCTCCATACAGGGAGGGCAGGAAAAGAAGTCTCAATAATTGGGGAGAAATTATCCAGAAATATCTAGTTTATGTACTATTTTTTGTATTTTTCCAAACATCAGTAATGGCCATGGTACCAAACTTATTTTTGTCAGAGGTACAAATACAAAAAAGTATTTATAAATGCACTTACAAAAAAAAAATCAATTTGTTCACTGTATGTAGAAAGTGTGTAAGATTACCCAAATCAGTGAAGAATGCCTCTAAGTTACAGGCATACTTAATACTATTAGTGAATGAAAATGAACAAAAACTTGCGTAAGTATTTTGCAGCATTCTAGAGCATTCTATTCACACAATGTAGTTGTAAGCTCTTGTTCATTTATTCTTTAGAATTACATTCCTAAATCTAAATACAAGTCTTTACACTGACACCTTTTAAAATATGTTAGGGAAGACCGGATATCCTCATGCTTTGCCGGTTCTCAGTTTTGATTTCTGTATGGGGTCCAGATGGGTTTCTCTATATAAATGTAAGGATATATAAATGTTGTTCAGAGATGACTGAACATCAGTCATCAGTCATAGTAATTAAAGGAATAATCAGACTTTTCACCTAGGATTTTTTTTCTTCATTTTTAATATTCTTAGAGACAGAAGTTGTTTCTCTTGTGTTCTTGTAAGGTCTTAAAACTAATAACCTTTTATTAGTGACATTTCATGATTTTTTTTTGTTTCCTGTTAAGTGTCATAAAGTCTGGAGGTATTTGTGGTTTCAGAACATTTGTTCTTCATATTTACTTCCCAACGGCTGTTCTTTATTTCACCAAACTTGTTACATTCCGGGAGTAGTTTATCGGTTAGCGTGTTCCGTAGGCTTCTAGTCGTATATAGTTGAAATCTGTGAGTGGGTGCAAAGTTCCTAATGTTCAGAAGTTTTTGTTGCTTTGGTGACAGTTTTCCCTCTTTCCAGTCTGCATACTTGGCTACCAAAGTTAATCTTTACTGATATCCATATTCCACAGACAGTACAGCTTGCAGCTCCTTTCATATTTATTCACTTAATATTATCAAATATTCTGGCTAAGCAAGGCTTTTTCCCTCTGTTCTTTTTTAGAAGTCTATTTTTAAGCTTGACAGTTTTATAGAAACAATTCTTTGGTTTTCTGTAGGGATTTTCACCTTAACAATGCTCTATTGTTAATTAAAATATATGATGTTTTAGTTTTTCATCTCTCCTAAACTGTAAAATATGCAAACATTAGGGTTTTTTTTCTTGCTTGTTCCTAAATGTATTCATGCCTTGCAAGTATCATGTTTTTACAGTAAAATTTAATCATTTTGCACAGTCTTAGCTACAAAATATGTATCACTGCTGACATTCTGCTAGAGAACTATATCTAAAGGGAAATATCTACAAATCTTCAAAATAACACAAAGTCAGTCTCAGATGCTATAAAATTCATTAAATAGATGAACAAAAATAGCAAAAGCCTGTTTTTTACAATTAAGAAATACTGCTTTGGTGGCATTTCAGTTTTACTTTGGCAGGCCTGACTTGGCACAGTGGAAATGTTCACCGACACTCCAAGGGAGAATTCTTAGAAAGGGAAAATTGCTGTTTAGGAACTTTTTTGTTTTCTTTTTGTGTTAAGCACATGCATTCCTCATTCGTTGTCAGTTAGATTGTCCTAGGAGTACAAGATCCTAAGAAGTACAAGAGTGCCAAGTAGCCTCAAATCATAATGATAAATAAATCTAATCAACTTGTAAGATTACCCATGTAATCTTCTGTATTCAATATTCTGTATTGAATAAGGCCTCTTTATGTGGTATTCATGCTTGGTAACATATCTTAAAGTGTCTTGATGAATATATTGCTTATAAAATGCAATCAGAATTCAAGAGAAAACATCAATGGTCCTTTATACAATAGTTTCTAGAGGTCAATGTAAAGCTAAGCCACATATGTTAGGATGTATAATTGCAGATGTGAGAGAGGGAGAATCATATTCCCAGGAATGCAGTAGCAGTGTCATAAAAATGTTGGATATATTCAGAACAGTCTCATCCTTTCTCTCATTATTGTATGTTTTCCTTGCTTTTGAAAGCTGCTTTAAGCAAGCTTTTTTAGGATTCTGTACAGGGCTACTCAGATGTAGCTTTGTGGAACAAAAGCACATCTGAGTGAAACAACTTTAAAATTGACAATGTTCAAGTATTTAAGTGGCAAAACTATCAATCTGTAGGAGACTTCTAATATTTTTTAGTTTTACAGAGCTTTACTAGCAAACTGCAGAAAAATCAGTCCTACCGCACGTGTGCTTTGTTTTCTCTGGCTTTTATCTTTTTTTAATTTATTAATATACTGGAGGTTTTTGTGTAAGTTACTGATGAACTTTTTTAAAAAACAAGGAAATACTAATATTTTTACATTACAAATCAGTTTGATTCACAGAAATAGTAAATGTTTTAATCCAGGAAGCATCTGTTAGTAGTGGAAACCTATGACCTGAGTTTTTGTGATGCTTTATACATAGTCTGCAAAAGTGATCAGAGAAGAATTAGCCTAAAAACTTCATTGGAGGATTTTCTTCCCTCTCTATATATACACAAAAAATAAATTTTCACTCCTTTAATAGAAAAAGGAATTAAAGTTATTAAATAACTCACCATCTGACACTTTGACAGTGAAACCTGAACTCACAAAGTGGATGGAGAAAAGAAGAAAAAATTATGAATGGTTGTTTTAAAATCTAATAGCAGATTTTGCATGAAGAGTACTCCGCATTAAGATCACACATCTTACCATCTAAATTGAGATTAAGAAACCTATTAGTAAAATGCACTACAAGAGCTTGGAATTCAATCAAAGGAATGGAGAAGACTGGTTTGGTTTCATTTGGCTTGTACTCCTTTTTATTAAAAGAGAGTTCAAAAATGATTGCCTTTCAACACAAAACTGAACCCTCTTCAGATATGAGAAATCTGGGTTTTGTGATAGAACTCTTTGTTCTTTTTTTTTTTTTTTCATACTACTACTACTTTAGAAATCACCATCCTTTTCTGGGAATGTTCTTTTCCTTTTATTCACTAATTTTCAGTTTACTGATTGATATCTTAATATTAGTGGGTCAATATCACTGTATTGTCAAAGAAATTTTCCTTCTTCGTTTGTATGTAGGGGTATGTAGTAGGCACCCACAGGTATAGGGACTCACAGCAGGGCAGTGACGTTCTTTGTGACCCGGGCTCGTGCACAACAGAACTGCGTGGGTGCAAAATGCTCTGCTGGTGTATCTGAGACTCATGGATCTTGCTCCAAGTCTGGTTTGAAGTATTTGCAGAGCTGAGTCTTGAATTTGCCACAAACTACCTTTGAAGAAAAAGCTGTAATATGATTACATTTCAAACACCTAAAAATAAGTGCTTTTACAAGTTTATTAAAACGTATTGCTGAAAATTCTAGGGTCATTGAAAGTTTACATGTGTTTACTATCCTATGAAAAATCCTGGAGAGGGAAAAAGGGTATTGGGATTGTTTGGTAATTTTTAAGTGCAGTTTGTTTTTTACCTTATTACTGCAAAATAATGAAATCAGCTTTTCAGTCTGGTCATCTAGTTCTTTCTACAGAAAAGGTGTGCATAGGGTTACCAGTAAAATATATGTAGAGTGTTTATGTGAAAAAAAAGTAATTATTAATGATGGAGTAAATTTGTCTTTAATGTATAATGTAGAACGTGTTATTTACTCTTCTCTTTGAAACTGCCTGCGATTATTTCCTCTGAGAACATTTAAAAGCTATGTGAAATTTCCACTCTTGCAGATAGGCACTGGTGATGTAATATGATTGATGCAATTGTAAATGCAAGTCTAATAAGAATATTCATTTTTAATTTCATGTTATCATATCCATGAGTACCCTGTTGTCCAAGATGTTCCATGGTTGTTTGGAGTTTAACTAACAGTGTTTGATTTTTATTTTTAATGTCTTCAGGAAAGGTATGCATTTTCTTATGCTGTCAGCATGGAGCTAAGCACAAAAAATATTCAAGGAATTAATTTCCATTAACCATTTCAACCACAGGGTGTACTTCCACCATATCTTGCATTTAACATCTGTGTACCATAATGATTTACTAGAATTAAGTATGTTATAGGAGTCCAGATTGCATGAATGTTTTTCTTGTATGTTTGTGTATATATATAAAATATATGAGATACTCAAAATTTTCTAAATGCACTAACAAATTATTGTAGTCATATTTTATATTTTTACATGTTATTTGTGGTTGCAATTGTGATTTCATTGGTGGTCTTATATTTGCACTTCAAATAGGCATCTGTTATAGTTTAAAACTGTGGGATAATATTATTTTAATGACCGGCTATATTATAATATATAATGCATTATTGTTAGTTCATTAATACATGATGATTCTGTATAGTTCTATATTAATCATATATAGCTATTAAATACGTATTTATTTAAATATGTACTTAAACTATTAAAAATGTATATATAAAAATATACACTCCTCAATATACTCCTCAAGAGTTTGGAAGATGTTGTTTTCAGATATTTTGAAGAGACTTATTTCTTACTTTCAAAAAATCCTGTTCTTGTTGCAGCTGGTTTTAGAAGAAGCTTTCGTCTTAGTAGAAAAGATAAAAAAACAAACAAATCTATGTATGAGTGCAAGAAGAGTGATCAATACGATACAGCAGATATCCCAACATATGAAGAAGTTGCAAAATATAGACGACAACCTAATGAAAAATACAGGCTTGTAGTTTTGGTTGGTAAGTTGTTTTCTTTATTTTTGTCCTGGTAAAACAGAACAGTTGGTCAGCACAGTAATAATGCAGGTTTGAAGGGATCTCAGAAGGTTGTCTAATCCAACCTCCTGCTCAAAGCAGGGTCAACACTGAGTTCAGCACAGGCTGCTGATGGCTTTGTCGAGTCAGGTCTGGAAAACCCTCAGGGCTGGAGGTTCTGTAGCCTCTCTGGAAAACTGCTCCAGCATCGCATTGAGTGGAAATGGAAAATATTCCTTACATCCAGTTGGAAACCATCCGTTTCAATTTATGACTGTTGTCTCTTGTCCTCCCACCCTCCTCCTCAGTAAAGATCCTGTCTCCGTCTTCCCAATAGGAAGTAGACAGGTCCCCTGGCCCTCTCTTCTCCACAGTGAACAAGCGCAGTTCCCTCGGCCTCTCCTCCCAGGCCGCGTGCCCCAGCCCCTGACCACCTTGGCAGCCTTCCGCAGCACTCGCTCTGTCTATCAACTACTTTCACATAGTGTGAACCCAGCCTGGCAGAGGCAGACGCAACATTGAACCTCATGTGGTTCAATGCTGAGGAAAGGGAAGAAGGACTTCCCTGCACCTTGCTATGCTTCTCGTGATGCCTCCCTGGGTGCTTTTTGCCTTCCCTGCTGCCGTTGTGCCCTGCCAGCCAGGGCCGGCAGGCCCTTTTCAGCAGAGCTGCTCCCCAACCGATCAGGCCCCCGCCAGTGCTGCTGTGGGGCTTCTCACAGCGCAGGACTTTGCATTCATCTTTGCTGAATTTCACAAGGTGTCTCTCAGCCTATTCCTGTGGCATCTCTGGGCCTCTCTGAGCTCTGTTCAGAGCCCACAAGCAAGTCAGCTGCATCGCCCAGTTTGGTGTTGTCAGCAGACTTGATGAGGGCATGTTCTTTTTGCTCCTCCAGGTGATTGATACAGGTAAGAAACAAGGTCCCAAGGTACTCTGAGGAACTCCATTTGTAAGCAGTCTCCAGACAGAGTACAAATCATTAGCCCCCATCCTTTGAGTGACATGATCCATCCATTTTTTCACCCATATATATGTCCACTCATCTCAGCAAAATGCAGTTTGGATATCAAGATGCTGTGGGAGATCACACTGAAATCCTTGCTAAAACAAAGGCAGAAAGTGGCATGAAAAAGTAGTTATCAAAGTGACTGCTCTGAACCTGGCTGTCAAACAGTACTAAAACTCATAAGAATTAAGTCAGTATGTAGACAGCTTTCTGCTCTCAGAGATGACTCAATATTGCTATGTGGAAAAGGAAAAAAAAGAAGCAAAAGTAGAATAAATTTCTGTGATCAGCCAAGACTATATAGATGGAAAGTAGCAAAACTATGATCTGTAATAGAACAAGTAAATACACAAGTTGAGAGAAAGGTAGATGAGAGGAAGAATTAGGTGCACCAAGGGCAGATGGAAGCAGAGTTGGAACCATCAGACATAAAGATGTCATCCCTAGGCAGCTTGTTGTTCTTCTGTAATTTATCATTGCCATGTTAGTATCTAATCAAAATGCATTGCTTCAGTCACCTGAAAAAAAGAGATTTTTTTTAAAGAAGTAATCAAAATGTCTCATTATTTTTCAGTTTCTTTTGCAGTAGCACTTAGGTTGATGCTTCATTAGTAACATCTCCTGTAATCTGAAGGCAGCAGAGCAGGAGAAATATGACCCTCTATCAGGGACTGTTACAAACTGTTGAGTGGCTGTGTTTTTATATCACTCATATCCAAGGGAACATTAAATTTAGTTTTTAATAAACAATTTTGTCACTCTCCAACACTAAAATTCAACCACCTACTAGTGTGATCACTGTGAGATTGTGGGCTATATGCAACAAGTAATAACATGGTTCAGTTGATTTTTACACTTACATCAACAGTGCAGTGCAGAAGTGTGATAAGTAGACTTTTTATAACAAATTGCATATGTCTGATCTGAGGAATACCTAGAGATTTCATGTGATTTTTGTTGTAATAAATCAAATGAAGAAAGTGTGCTTTTGCAGTAACAAAAGCACTTCAGAAATTTATTGCAGACTTCAGTAATTCTAATGTTTTTTCTCTGGATATTAAGAGCAGCTTAAGTCTGGCCAATACCATAAAAATGTCTTGGGCAAAATGTGGAAAAACTAGCAGAGCTAGGCAACACAGGTGTAGTAGAAGCGAACACATTTAAAAAGCTTTTCGTGTGCCAGTAGCAGCATTCAATATAATCTGTCAAATATAATCTGGGTATTAGTACCAGGGAAAAAAGGACAGATAATTAATTCATAATTGAAATTGTTCGGACTTTGCATGTCCAATGTGTGTTATGCTAGGACTAAACACATGCTTTGCTGTTGGAAGGTTTTTTAGGTTTTTGCTTTATTCTTTCTGAAGGGAGGCTGGGGTGAGGGGCTGACAACTTTGAGGTGGAAATTTCTTTTGGCTTCATATCAAATTGCTTTAGTCTAATTGATGGTATGCAAGCTGCCTGTATGGTAATTTTTAGTCCTTCTTGTATGAGATGAATTAGGTTCAGGTTCAGCTAGACATACTAGTTTGTCAAGATTTCACCTTGTCTGCAAGTGTGTATCCATGAATACAGTCTGCATATACTTGGGGCTAAAATAATGGATCATCCAGAGTGGTTTTAGTGCAGGTGCTTCTCCTGTGCTCTCTTTTAATTATTATGAATGTGATGAGTGTGCTGAAAACAAAATTACCCAGTGTCATATGACCAGTCTCTTTCTGGTAACTTACTATTCCCAGGGTGCCCACACATCGCTGAAGTCTTCCTTACAGAAATGTTGTGTGCATGCTAGGATGATACCTTGCAGCCCTATCAAGGAGAGTCAGAATATTTTAATATTAAGTACATATTTAGACAATATAATTTTATTTATGTTAATCAGGAAAAAGTCCTGCTCACAAAGGCTTCTTCAGTGCCTGTGAGCACCAGACTAGCACAAAACGTATTTCCTAAACATCAGAATGGATGTGCCATATAAAGCAAGCTCAGTAACAACAAACTATTAGCATATGTCCCAGAACACATATATATGTGTGTATTATGTATAGAACTATGTATGTGCATCAAGTGTAATTGCCAGGGGCATGCAGAGCTTGAGTAGTCCCTTTCAGATGCCATGGTCACCTACTAGGATGCATCTGCCCTAAGGGGACAGTGGTAGCAGCAAGGATCAGAGGTGTGGGAGAGTGAAGGAGCAGTGTTTATTGCTGTAAGAAATAAATAAAAAAATGTGCTCTTTCCCAAAGTTAGGCTGACAGTACTCCCTACAGTGGTGTTCTCTGGTCACCAATGCACATAAAAGGCATCTGTAATTCAGGCTTGGAAGAAAGACATTTTGGAAAAGTTCTGCATTGTTATACTACTTATGTTTTAAAAAGTATCCATTGCTTCTGGTTTTATCATGAAGGACCTATGCAGAAAGCCAGGCTGGCCTCGGCAAGGGGAGGATGAGATGCAGTAGCTTCTGGCTTTCCTTTCCCTCCTGGCTTTCTTTGAACATCTACAGAGGCTGTTGAGGAGGAGCTTGCAGAGGCTTAATAGAGCTGTAGCAGTACTGCAGGACTGTTATGCCCATCCTACATCCCGTAAACCATCTGGACAGGGATTACTGTCTGCCGGAAACCTTCCTGGCTGAAGGCATTGGTAGGTCAGCAGGATTCAGTAAGGTCTGATTTATACAGAATGCAATGTTTATATAGGCTAACCTTGCCTGTGGGAACTCAGCGTAACCTCCCAGTATACACTCCCACTGCTAGTTATAATTTACTGAAACACACAATAATGAGGCTCTACTTTTCTACCTCATATCTGATTGTTTCTGCAAGTTGGATATGCATGTGCAGGCATTGCATTGCATCAATCAGTTGTACTGGAGAGAAGGAATTCAGCTACAGAATCCAGTCTTTTACCTAACTTGCAGTTTCTCTTTTTCTGCAAGACAGCTTTCTTTTTCATGTCTCAAATATATATAGTATTTGAGCTGTATATTACATATATAGTTCATATTACATATGTATTACCATATACACACATATATACACATATATAACATATATATTACTATATATACATATATAACATATATGTGTACTATATATTCATATAGTACATATTGCATATATAGTTCATATATAGTTATATATTGCATATATAGTTCAATATGTATCTATTTGTGAAGAATAGCTTCTCAGGTCAGCCTTCCTGGGTGTTGAACTTGCATAAAATGTCATTTCCAGTTTTCTTCAAAAATGTGTGTATGATGCAAAACTTAATGCAAGTTTTAGGCAGTTTCCGTCTAAGCCTGCAAATGTCTGTCAATAAGGTGGGGCAGTTACTAGAGGCTGTTTTTGTAGGATTCAACCATAACTTAGTTTACATGCCTCAAGCTGGAAGAGCAATTGACATAAATACTCCTTTTAAAAATTAAACAAAATATCCCTAAATATCTTGCCATAACACTAAATATTGCTGTATGGTTTGATGTGTAGTAAAACTAAACCTTTTTACAGTCATGAATCTGGCATCCCTGGCATTATGCTATAAGAATTTGGATTGTCTTTTTTAATCCTGATGTACTGTTAATGAGTTCAAATCATGTCTGCAGATTCATAATTATTAGAACTCCATATATTTCTTGATTCCATAAAAATGAATGTTCAGATAGAACTATACATTATATTTGGGAAATGTTGTTAAAAAAAAGAAGACTTAATGGCACTGCTAATTAGGAATCAGCCTTCAGTGTCAATTTGCTACACTTTAGGACAAAGACAGCATGGAATCAAAAGACTGCACCTTTTAGTAGTTAAATTTAAGGTGATTTTAAAATGTTAATCTGGAAGGAGAGGCAGCATAGTTGTGACGTCTTGGTATGGAAACATTTAATCTAAGTTTCAAAGGCATCTCTCAGTACTTGAAGTCTAGGTTCTTTACATATAAACAAACAGAGCTAAAAGTATATTGTTGGCCTGACAGCATGTAGACTAAGGAAATAATATTTGGGTAAATTTTATGGGAAATATTTTTGTTTGAAAGAAATACAACTTTTTTTTACTTGAATTGCAGTTATTGTTTCATTGATAGGATATATTGAAGGTTTTAATTACTTTACTTGCAAAAACCCTTATTTGCTTAAATAACTGTACAGTTAGAAGTGGTAGCCTGTTTTTAAAAATACTGAGAACAGAATTAATGCCATTAGCTGCATGACACATTGCTTTCCTCTGCAGACATGCACCAGTAGAGGCTGCTGTACACCATATTAAATAAACATTTATACATACTGATAGATTAATTTACAGGCAGGTCAGAGATGGATCTTGAAATGTAGTTGTGTGTTTAACTTATGTAAACATATAAAATTATAAATACAGAAACGCTAAGATTTTACAGAGAGACCATAGTCTGGGGGTAGTAGAAAGCATTTGCTTTTCATCATTACATGTTTCTAACTTCAGACAGGATGGGTAGTCATTTCTGCAAATTGGAAACTGGCACCTAAACTTGCTGAAGCATCAGTCTTTGGTTCCTGCTACCAGACTTTCTGGAGTAATTAACCAATATGCCACTATTTCCTTAAAATGTTTATAGGATTTTATGTCTAGTTTATGTCTGTATAAAAAAACATTCAATGTATATGTGTACTGCTATCGTGAGAATGGCGAGATTCTTCCCTAAAAGCACATGTATTGTCCTTGTGTTATTTGGGTTGTGCTTCAGACAACTCGGTGTCCTCTAAGCTCTGCTCCTGGCTCTGAGGACACAGGGCCTCGTCAGACCCGCGGCTCTCCGAGCTGGGCCGCCTCAGCGCGCGGCCCACCCCGCGGCCCACCAGGGCCGCCCAGCAGCAGGGCCGTGACGGGAGCCCGCAGGCAGGCCTGGGGGTGGTGGCCAGCCGTCCCATGTAGCTCGTGAGCCTTCACCGGGGTTGGAGGACCTCCCTGAAACTTGTCCTTCCACCCAAGGCACTGCAGCCAAACGGCCAGAGTTGGAGATAACACGAGAGCAGAGGGGCTGTCTTCTCCTCCACGACCCAGGTGGAGGAGAGGGGTGAGAAAAGCCCTGAGACAATTCCATGCAGGTCTTGTTTCTTCTGCCATCTTCTTTCCAAGACTGGTCTGTTTTTGGCAGCCACACAGAGAAGGAAACATTTATTTTGGACCAGTCCAGACAGCAGACAGGAGAAAAGAAGCATTTAAAAGAAGAAGCAGCAACAACAAGGGAAGAAACAAACTCACCCAAATAGGTTGTGGCCTGGAGAGCACTCTGTGCATGGAGAGGAGCTGAAGTCCCATGGACACTTCCAAATGATTCTGATTAAAAAGTCAATATATATTATAGCTATGTAGTATGTCATCTTATCTCAGGAAGTGTTTATGTCTTAAGAATAGAGAAATTTGTTGGGAAAAAGCATGATATTTTTCTTTCAGGTCCTGTTGGGGTTGGACTGAATGAACTTAAACGGAAATTGCTGATCAGTGACACGCAGCATTATGGGGTGACAGTGCCACGTGAGTAAAAAATACATTTCTGCTCTATTAATGCTCTACTTAGTTTATATCAACTGAAGGCATTTTCAAATTTGGGCTGCTAAGTCTAACTTTGGCATCCAAGTCACTTTTCTAATCTTTAAAAGTGCTGCTGCAGCTTTATTTATATGGCATTGATTAAAACTGATAAGACATTTTGGCTCAGAGGCATTGCAGTAGATTTTTAGTGCAAGTTTAACAAGATTTATGTCAACAAAGTTCAGTAAATGAAACTCGTCCGAAGAACACCCCGGATTTGGCTGCAAAGGAGCGCAGCATTCCCCAGTACCCTTCCTTCTGTGCAGCCCAAAGGCCTTCAGGTACTAGGTAATGTTAGGCAGCCTGACAAATAAAGAGTAATGATAAACAGTTTCATTCTATGCATAAATGAATCAAAAAACACTTGATTAGCCGTGGAAAGATGGTTTGTTTTCCTTTTGCCCCTTCCCCATGTCCTTCCAAGTTGTAGAATTTGTATAACACTGTTCTAAGTAACATTGTTCCACAGCAACTTCTATAGTACATTACTGTATTTTTAGTTAAACTTCTATTCAGTGGTCTGCTTATTACCTGTAATTTCCTTCTTAGAAGGGAAATTACACATTAGAAGGGTCCCTAAAAATATGGATCTGACATTCTGAGTTTGAGAAATACTGTCCCACTATTTTGCAAATGCAGGTATTCTGTAAGGTATATATACAAATTAGTTTGCTAGATGGAAAGATGCATACATTTCTTTTCAGCAATTCATTTGATTTGCAAATATTTGCCTCAGCAGGGTATTGAAAAAAGCAACAAAAAAACAGATGTGCCCAAATATTTAACATATGGAAGCATATGCAATCCCTTGCCCAGAACTATTTTTCTAAAATTTGCCAGTATTCATCAAACTGCCTTTTCTCTATGCTACTCAAAATTTGTGGTTATAATTTAAAATAAACAAGTAAAGAAATCCTTCTTCACTAATTCAGTAAGTCAGAACTTTCAAGGAGACCAGGAGGGTTCTTGTCTTGGAAATGTTTCTTTTTGTGTGAACCTGAGAAGAGCATGACATCAACTGGCATTTTAGGCTGTTTCTGCAAGCAGGGCAGGTAGGTTCATATGTGATGGGGAATGCATGATGCTGTCCAGTGCAAATTATAATGAGTGTGAAAAGGATTTGTTATTCCTAAATGACAAATCCACAAACAAGATTTATTCAAAAGCAAAACCTTGGTACATACATTGTACTGTTGCATTCTGCATATCTCCCTTTTTATATTATACTTGAGAAGTAAAGAGGGACTATGCAGAATGCAAATAATAATACAAGATTACTGAAAGAAAAAGGAATTCCTTTTTGTTTGCCAGAAACAGGAAAGCAGTAAAGCATAAAACTCACACCCCATTTTTTTATTATCATGCCTCACATACCATAGCTACAAGGGTTGTTAATGAACATAACATTTTATAAATCAGGTTCGTGAACTTTGTTTCCCTTTATGGTCTCATATGCTAATAAGTTTAACAAGTGGCAAGGTGGGGTAATTGTTATGGACTGCTGTTCGTTTTATTGTTCTGCTGTCTGCTCTGATTTTATTGGGATTTTTCCACTAGTTAATAAAAGTGATAATCTGACACTTACCCAGGAGTTTTTTCCTTTGCTTTTAGCCTCAATCCAGTCATGGATTCGAGCGCCGCCTCCCAGATGCAGAGCAGCCTTAAGTCAATCGGAAGTTAGAGAACTGCTGTGCTTAGTGTCACAGAAGGCTTGTGTGCTTTTAAATGTTTCCTGAACTGGTTTACATTACTCCGTTTTGCCCATCTGATCCTTTTTATTTTTTTCTTTTAATGAAACTGCAGACACTACCAGAGCAAGAAGAGGCCAAGAAAGTGACGGTGTTGAGTACATTTTCATTTCCAAGCACTTGTTTGAGACAGATGTACAGAATAACAAGTACGTTGAAGAGACTTTACCTGAAATTGAACCACGGTTAAAGGAATGGCTATAGTATAAAATGTGGCTGGTTGTAATTTAGGTAATATTTCAAAGTGGATGTAAGCTGCAGTGATTTGAAGATGTGTAAAAATTACCTCGTAATATCTAAGCAGTTCAGAACAGCTGCAAAAAGTACGTAACAAAAATCACTATGTACAAAACAGAAATGGTTCTGAATTTCCAAGCAGTTTCAGCATTGCAGCTCATCAATAAGACACTGAAACTGCTGGAGTTCAAGACAGGAGAGGCACTATCTGTCCTGCAGTGGGGGTATTGCAAGCCAGGAGGAGAGGCCTGGAAAAGCTGTGAACATGTTTAAGTCAATGTTTGTGGAGTTACGCTCTCTTTCAGGACAGACACTTCCTGTTCTTTTAAACGTAGAGACCTACAGTGAAGCCCCTCACCATAAACTCTCCAGAAATTAGACTAAAATGAACACAGTGATAGCATCATGCGTCCTAGCAGCCTGTAAAATACTGTAGCTTGAAATTCTGCCCTAGTATTTCAGAGGGCAAAAGTGTATTAGACACAAAGCTGTGGGTTTTATTGAAACTTCAAACTGTGCTTTGCTTTTTTGGCAAATAGTGCTTGCACTTTTATAGCGCATAACCAGCCGCCTTGGTTTCATTAGCACCATAGTAGCTCCTCCTCCTCTTCTGAGACAGAGAATTTGGGTACTCTGTGGTGTGCAATGAAATTTCAGTAGTTTCTATTGTTTAGCTTATCCACTGTTTTATTGCATTGCATTAGTTCAGAAAAAGAGGTGATGGAAAACATTAGTGGGCTGTTGGACCATAGTACTTTTTTCGCTTTTACTGTAATACAAGCAGGTGTTACTGATTTGAAAGTGGTAAAATAGAAGATTTCTTAAAATTGACATGCTGAAGTACTTGACAGCATTTCCTTTATAAAACAAGGCAAAACTCACATGTAAAGTAAAATATATCTGCTTCTGAATTAATCTTATAAACTAGACTGATGAGTCTTGCTGAAGAAAACGGAAATGATTCCAGTTGTTTTTACCTTCTGCCACAGGTTTATTGAGTATGGTGAATATAAGAACAACTACTATGGTACAAGTTTAGACTCCGTTCGATCTGTTCTGGCTAAAAACAAAGTTTGTTTGTTGGATGTGCAGCCTCATGTAAGTAAGCATGTCTTTTGGCATCTTGTAGTTAATTCCCTGTACCACACACTGAGATTCTAGGGGAAAAAAAGCTCTGTTTCTAGAGAGGTATGTTTCATTCCATGCTGAATTTCTATTGCCCAAGCTTGCTGGATACCTTTATCATAGCAAGACTTCCTGAAGGAGAAGAAGGAATCTTTAATCCTTATTGGCAAATGCTCAGCTCAGTAATTAACTGAATTGAAAGCCTGCAGCATAACACCAAAGCTTTAATTAGAAAATGCTCCGGTATTTTCACTCATCTCTCTGCTGCTTTGGGTCACAGCTTCTGTCAAAAATCAACCTTAATTCCAGAATATCCTTGAGCTACCACCCAGTCCAGCAGCTCTCT